ACAAAAAACTAATTTGTTAAAGCCTTATATCAGCAGTATAATTTGGTTGGATTTGGAACAGTTCTCTTCATGGAATATCGAAGCGAGCTGGGTAATTGTTTCATCATATAAATATCAATTGTACAAGTATAAAATAAAAATCTTTTACTCACTTGAAAGTAAAACATAAATGTAGATGATAAACGTCTTCAGAAATGCGACACACGTTTTTGGCGCTAAATGGGGGAATTTAATTGAAAATATTAAATACATTGGTTAAAAAAGTATTGTATAGCAATATTTTTTTTATTTCCTTCCAGATCAGTTACTAAGGTGACAATTTTCATCATCTTTTTCAAGAGTAGCAAATAAAAAAAACATCATTTCTGAGTTTTTTTTTGGCTATCATCTTACGTACCCACCTGAAATAGGACTCGCGTTATCCTTTGATTCCAGGCATAATACATGTAGCTGAAAACCAGAAGAAAACTAAGAATTAGAAATCAAACAAATCAACAAATTAAATTTTTGTATTCTAATATAGTTTCAGTGGGTGGAACTTTTCATTTATTAGATAAATGATGGGGAATCCGTAAACAAATCATCATGCTATCAATTATCAATTCTTTTGTATCGGAAAATCAGAACGAAGATATTACGATATTCATTTGTTAAATTCTCTAAACAAAAAATAAGTTTCTATGTAGCCTGCTCAAATATTACTGGTAGTTGTCTCACCACATGCATAGCATACACACCTCTCTAAACTTCCAATAAATTCATTAGATCTAAGTTCAGCAGAGAGACTTCCTTAGCATATTGTAGACTCATATATTTAATATTCTCCACCATCTTTCTGAAAAGAAAAAAGTATTGTGTTGCAATCTAATAAAGTAAACATTGAACAAAAAACTAATTTGTTAAAGCCTTATATCAGCAGTATAATTTGGTTGGATTTGGAACAGTTCTCTTCATGGAATATCGAAGCGAGCTGGGTAATTGTTTCATCATATAAATATCAATTGTACAAGTATAAAATAAAAATCTTTTACTCACTTGAAAGTAAAACATAAATGTAGATGATAAACGTCTTCAGAAATGCGCACACGTTTTTGGCGCTAAATGGGGGAATTTAATTGAAAATATTAAATACATTGGTTAAAAAAGTATTGTATAGCAATATTTTTTTTATTTCCTTCCAGATCAGTTACTAAGGTGACAATTTTCATCATCTTTTTCAAGAGTAGCAAATAAAAACAACATCATTTCTGAGTTTTTTTTTGGCTATCATCTAACGTACCCACCTGAAATAGGACTCGCGTTATCCTTTGATTCCAGGCATAATACATGTAGCTGAAAACCAGGAGAAAACTAAGAATTAGAAATCAAACAAATCAACAAATTAAATTTTTGTATTCTAATATAGTTTCAGTGGGTGGAACTTTTCATTTATTAGATAAATGATGGGGAATCCGTAAACAAATCATCATGCTATCAATTATCAATTCTTTTGTATCGGAAAATCAGAACGAAGATAT